CTGGAGGCTTTAATTTTAAGGGTATGTTCCCCGCTCATGTGCGACTAAAAAATTTTAAATCTAACTGTTCTAGCGTGGCCTTTTTTTGTGGACCAGCAGCTTTCCATTTGTCGGGTCACTGAAGTCGACACCTACAACTGACATACCACATAGCTGCGCAATTCATCCCCGAACTTCGAGGGCCAGTATTTCACAGGGTTAGCTACTTTGATTCCTTGCGATCTTGCTACGGCACACGACACCTACAACTGACACACCACATAGTTGCACAATTAACTTCCCGAACTTCGAGGGCCAGTATTTCATCAGGGTTACAACTGACATACCACATAGTTGCACAATTTACTTCCGAACTCCGAGGGCCAGTATTTCACAGGGTTAGCTACACTTATTTCCTTGCGATCTTGCTACGGTACGAAAGTGCAAAAACGCATAATCGCTCCGGCCCGCCTGGTGCGTTCCAGCCTGGGTTTTGGGTGGACTAGGTTTTTTTTACGGGTGCGAAGCAAGAGGGTGGATTGTGAGAGGGTTAGGCGAGGTTATGAGTATAATGGGGAGATGCAGGGTGTTTCTGTACCGAGGTATTGAATTTATGACAATTTTTTGTAGGTATGTATTGATGGTGGTTATACGAATAATCTTCCTGTTTTCGATGATATGCCGACATTAACGGTGTCACCGTTCAGCGGGAACGCGCACATATCGCCTAGAGACTACATCACATCCCTTACATGGACAACAGAACTCTTTCGGCAACAATTTCTTGTAAGCATTTACTTCCTTAAATACGCATTTCGTGCAGCATGCGCCTGATGTTTCGGGGAAACGACGTAATGCTGCTGACAATTACATACAGTGAGAGTTCAAATGCAAAAGGTGTTAGCTACAGTAATGTTGGGGATCAAACAGATATTTGGCAAGCTGCATTCCACATTTCATTTGCAGGTAAATATGTCAAATTTGAAACGTGGTGCGCATGCTCTTTTTCCGCCTCCAGACGCCATACTTCGGGATTATTTCGATGCAGGATACAATGATGCGCTGGACTTTTTGGCTTCCAAGGGATTTATGGAACCTGATGAAAAGACTGCACTGAAGGACACTGTGGAAAAGCAAAACTGTTATTGATGAAATGAGTTAAAGTGGCTATTTTTTAGTGAACTGGCTTAGTGCAGTTAACGGCACAAAGAGTGTGATGTATTATGGTTCCTTTGACTAAGTGTGCACTGCTGCGGTAAGCTTTAAAAAAAAATTTCTTTATTTGACAGTCACGGACAATCGTTCAGAAAGAACACGTTTGAAAAACTGTAATTGCTTTTAAGGGGATAATTTTTTAAACATGGTAATTCTGTTATATTTTTGATCATCCGTTGATTCCGTTCCCACATTAGGTCTTAAAATGGAAGCATTTAGAAATTTGGCCTGTAGCGCATGAACGAAACGTGAGTTTTCATTGAGTTACTGTGACATCAACGAATAAATAGCAGCGCGCGCCAGAATAGCTGGTGCGATCATGTGTTTTGCGCAATTTCTTTCACCGAACGATTGCCTGTTAATGATTTTCACTGCTTTGCAATTTGTTCTGTGCAAAAATAGCTGAAGTGCTGAAAAATGGTTAAAAATTTCACGGGCAGGCACGTGAAAGCTGAATTTAAAACCAAAATTTCAATCTTCTAATTTTGTGGCTTTTGAATGATCTTTGAGACAAAACTTTTGTAAGTGGGAATATAATTCTATTTCCATTTTGCAGCATTTTCTTATGCTGCTATGCAGCTGTTACCTTAAAATATAAAAAAGTAGTAGGGAAGGGTATTTATGATTTATGAGGTCACGCATGTATAATAGGATAGATCTCAGAACAATAAAAAAAGTATTGTTGTACACGGCGCGCTCCTAAACTTGCTGCGCCGAAATAAAAAATGACATCAGGGTAGGCGCAATTTACGGCCCCTTGAGGTCATCTATACACCTTCTGCCCTGGCCGCGCCCAGATTCCTCCCCTATATAAACTCAGTTTTTAGGCACAAAACACATTCTCTCCGCTCCTCTCGGACTGAATGGCGATGACGAATTTTGTAGCCCACTATCTTCAGTCATCACTACTCCCCTCCCCCCTTTCCTTTCATTTCTTTAGTTTTCTCCCCTCTCATTTACGGCCCAGGCTTATAGGATGGAAGGTGCTGAGGGATCAGGCCACCGCGAAAAATCAGATTACAGGTAATATGTCGAAAAAGTTCGTGACGGCAACTGGTACAAGTAAGAACCCAGCGTTGCTTGTGTAATGCTGGAGTAACGCACACTTCCCAACGGTGCCCGCCCACTTATACAAGTGTAAATGGGAATTGTATTCCCATTTCTTTTGAAAACTTTATCTATTAATTATTATAAATTTCGCCTAACCCCACCCTCCCCAGGGTTGTAAAATTCAAACTCTGGGTTAAGGCATCGTAAAAACTGACCTTTATCCCCACCGCCCGAACACCTTTGTCCCTAGTCCTAAATCCT